ACCATGCCGCCTTGATGCAGTCATTAATGCAAAAGGAGGCCCAACAAAGTACTGAGGACATAATACAGTACATTAACACAATTTTCAGAAGGCCAACATGTGTTTAAGATCCTTTTTTTATTGGTCACATGAAATATTCTAATTTTGTGAAATACTGGATTTGGGTTTTTTTTGTCTTTAATTCATAATCATCAAAATTGAAACAAATAAAGGCTTGAAATATTTCACTTTGTGTGTAGTGAACTAATATAACATACAAGTTTCACTTTTTGAAACAAATTATTGAAATAAATGGACTTTCCCTCGATATTCAAATTTTTTGGCAAATACCTGTATGCGTTGACCATTTTCTGTAACTTCACACTGACTTCAAGCCATAATTAGTTAGCTGTGTTACTCCCTGCCAAAGGCCCTTCAGCTACCATCCAGTTTACAGCCACTGGATGTCTTCCCACTTCTTGTTTTGCCTGAAAAAGCATGTCTAGATTCCACAGCAAACATGCCCATTTAGGCTACATTCATAATTTTCTATTTATTGTGGGTCATGGGCTGATTTCATGTGTTTTATGTGCCTATGTGTAATTTTTGTGTTAGGATTTACTGTCAGTTCACAGGCTGGAGTTCGCTGACAGCACATATATACTAAAAGCTATTTTCATTGTAAGATTTTTCCGGCTGTTTTAACCAGGAACTCAGAGAGACGAAGCGGACCACTTGGATATATAAAAAAATAACCGTGCTGGTTTATTCAAAGAATCACAGGTAAAATTAACATTACACGTCCCGGTAACTTCCACCTTCAATACTGCTCGCAGGCAGATGAAGAATGAAAGACCCCGAACCATAATGCCTATACATTTTTATCACTTCAGTTGGGCTAGCCCATACTACCCAGGAACGTCAAACCGTGGCGTCACCTGATATGCCAGCTTTGGAGCTGACCATAACAATAGTCAAAACATGAAGCAAATCAGTGTGTGTGAATGTTGATTACGTGGTGTGTATCTAAGAACATTCTGACATGACATCTAGTGACATGTCATGACATTACACATAAGAAAATATTATGATTACCATTACAGTTACACATATCATAATAATAACAATACCCCCCTGCCTCTATCTAGTTGTCCTTGGCCATGTGCACCTTGCAAAAAACTCATGAGAATGACTAAGCATTTAACAGCCTGAGCTAGACATCCTGTCCCCACTAAACATTTCTAATACAACGAATATCTAACCAATATCTATCCAACCAAAAAAATTACCCAACAATACCAATTTTTCCATGCAAACACAAAATAAGTGACAAAAATGAAATAGCCCTGTAATAATAAGCTGGACATAACAGAAAAAATATTTTTCAAAGTAAACTGGCTTTTACTTAGAGTTATATGCAATATGTCCCCACAGTTTTGACATCAGGATTCAAATTGTGAATGGTGGCTATGTAACAAATGATGTAGTCATTGTCTGTCTAATATTCCAGTTGGTAATTAATTAATCTACCACCAGTACATTACATGTGTAAATGTACACTACAACTTTCACATTGGACACAGTGCTGCTGCTCTGTGCTGGGTACAGGCATTCAGTAGACTCAGAGGAAAGAAACCCACAAACAGCTGTAAGCGTCAAACTAACTTTAAACTCCTGTTAATGTTTTGTCTGAACCACGATTAGATTCAGTGCCATTAAACATTATTGGTGAGGCTGCTTAAACTAATCAGAACTTTGATGGTTCACAGCATCAGTCTGCCTAAACTGCTCCTCCTAGTGGATAGATACAGCCATGCTACAGGCTTCTACACATGGTGCTCAAAGGTATTAACAAGGTGGCACTGCATTAACTACAACATCAGGGGTGATCACGTTCCAGAAATGTACAGTTCAGGCACTGTCACCAGCCAAGAGGCATTTTAAGATGTTACCACTGTAGCAGTTTTCCCCCTTATCCACAACAATTTGACACTTTTCTTACAAAAAATCGATTGTAATACTATGAATGTCTTTCAAGAAAGAATGAAATTGATTGAAGCGTCACGGTTATCCTTCTTCTTTTTTAAACAAATCATGCCTGACGTTTCACTCAGTCTTTCAGTGAGGCTGTTTTGAACGTTAAACATTTTTAACATGGTCAGACAGCACATCTAGAGAAGTAGTTTTGAGAAACCTTAAGTCAGCCCTTCACTTTACTAATAACAGGACTGGTCACAGAGGCACCAGTCACTCTGCTTGACTGTTAACTAGAGATACTGTACTTTTACATTGCTTTTGAGTGCAAAAACAAAAGCTTCCAAAGAAATGTGTGATGTTTAGGATTTAATTCATATTGGACAAACTATATAGATAACTCAGTTATTTTGGTCTAATACTTTTTTTGGCTTCTTGCCAGACCTTTGCCATCATCCTTTCATGCAGGGGATTTTATCAACAAAGCATGGTTTCTGAATGCAGTTAGTGTGGTGAGAAAAGAGGTGCATGCGTGTGCATGTGTGGTGGGGGAGGATCGGTCTGTTCAGTGGGGTGAATAGTTTCTTTTTTCAGTCGGCCTCCATCCTCTTCCCACCCTCCCCTTTGAATAAGCTCACTGGAGATCCACCTGAGCTTATAAGTAACATTCTTGCATCTGGGCTAGCGATAGAGTGTTGGGGTAGAAGAAAAGGGACATAATGAGCGGGAAAGAGGAGGATATACTTTATGTGAATGATATATATGCTGTATATGGAGTGGAAACGAGCACGGAGAGTAATTTGTCATACTTTAATTGTAATTAAAGATTTTACAGCACAGTACAAAGTAGCCGCGAAACCACAGATTTACATAGGTGCCAAACAAGGGAGCTCTACCACTCTCAAGGTTCTCATGCCATTCTCTTCTTCCTCACAGCAACTTGTTTTTCTGGCAGTGACCCTGAAACCAAAGGGTTTTGTAGCTTGTATCCTAGCAATGGGGGAGGATTACTGAAACACTGGAAGCCCTCTTGGACTGACCAGGCCTCTGCTGAGGGCTCTTTTATACACACACACCACACACACACACACAAAAGGATGTAGCCAATCTGACAGGAATTTTGATAGCAATGAGCTTCCCACTACTTTTAATGGACTACTGTCATGCCAAAATACATGTTTGAATGTCAGTCTGTAGATGCAGCAAGCACATGTTTGTGGTTAGCCGACAGTAATCCCTGTAGGGTCAGTTTCATCGTCTGTGCACGAACTCTCACTGGGTCCCAAAGTATAGAGTATATTCATGTTCCTTGTCTTTCCCTTGTGTTACAGGTTGTATCCGGAAAGATGTGTATTTAAACCTGAACTGCCGGGGAGTCGAGAGGTGGCATGCCTCTGTGAAACGCCACTGGAAACAAATGGTGAGAAGCTGATGTTGCAGATAGTTTATTGTGCTCAAGGACTCATCCAGATGCTAAATATAGGTTAAGATCAAAGGTCAAAGTGTTTATTTGTCATATGCACAGTTAGGAAACATGTTTCCCTGTACAATGAAATTCTTACTTTTCCATTTACATGAATGCCACACAATACAAGTGAAATATAAAGTAGATGAGCAGTAACACAAATCTAAGGCGCTTTAAAGCAGCAAGTGAAGGAGGCAAATTAAAATACAACAAGAACACAATATAATGCAGAGAGAATATATGCTACGTGGGAGCCATGAAGTGCAAATATTCAGAAGTGAGTGTGCAATTATGCATGTGCAAAATGAGTATGTAAACAGTACAGATGGAATTACATGAGGTAGATCCTGAGTCAGCTGTTTAGGAGTCTGATGGCAGTCAGAAAGAGAGTTTTTCAGTCTAGAGGTCCTGCATTTCACACTTCTGAGCCTCCAACCAGAGGGTAGGGGTATGAACAGTTCGTGCTGGAGGTGGGTGGGATCCTTGAGGATGGAGGCAGCTTTCCTACACACCCTCTGGTGGTAAATGCTCTGCAGAGAGGGCAGTAGAGTCCTGGTTATGTTTCCCGCAGTCTTTACCACTCTCTGCAGGCGCTTACAGTCCATAGCAGTAGTGCTGTCATACCAGACAGTAATGCAGCTGGTCAAGATGCCCTCAACGATGCAGCTGTAGAAGTTGCTGAGGATCCTAGGTGACATGCCAGACCTCCTCAGCCTCCTCAGGAAGTACAGCCGCCGTTGGATCCACAAACTTTAGGATGATATTGTCCTTGTGGGAGGCGACACAGTTGTGGGTGAACAGGGTGTAGAGGATGGGACTGAGGACACATCCCTGTGGGGGGGTCCAGACCCAGTGTGGACAGTTTGTGGGGGATAACTGTGTTGAAGGCGGAGCTGTAGTCAGTGAAGAGTATCCTGATGTAAGAGTCTCCATTTTCCAGGTGAGAAAGGGAATAATGGAGTGCAGCTGCAATAGCGTCTGAGGTGGCCCTGTTGGGCCAGTAGGCATACTGCAGGGGGTCCAGGGTGTCCGGTATACTGCTCTGGATGTGGACTAGCATCACTCTCTCAAAACACTTCATAATGATTGGGGTGAGTGCCACTGGCCTGTAGTCGTTCAGGCACGCGACTGGGCTCTTCTTGGGAAGCTGGAGGTCTCAAAGCGGGTGTAGAAGGTGTTGAGGTCATCCAGCAGTTTCAATTATGAACAATCTAAACTGCTCAAAAAATTAAGGGAACACTATACACATTGTCTTGATGAAGAAATTATTCAAGTTGAAAACCTTTACTAATGTACTTTGTATAATTTAATCAGAACAAAACGACATAATAGCGGTCACCAAACTCAACCCATGGAGGCTGGATTCAAAATCACACTGAAAATCAAAGTGCAACATGGAAATCACAGGCTCATTCAAGTTGAGAGAATTTCATCACGACAAATCATAATGTCACTCTGAAGTTTGTGTGGCCCCCATGTGCCTGTGTGCACTCCTAACAACATCTGGGCATGCACCTGATGAGTTGGGAGATGGTGTCCTGGGGGATCTCCTCCTCAGACCTGGATCAGGGCATCAGTGAGCTCTTGGACAGTTAAGCTAATAACAAAAATGATTGTGTTGTTCTTGTCCATATTAAATACATCACTAAAATTTCACTGTGGGCTGGAAAACATATCTGAACCCCTCGGGTAATGACAACAACAGAAGGTAACTGCAGTCAGGAGTTGGCAAACCTGGAGTCCAGTCAGTGAAGCTAGATTGGAGGTGTGAGATAGAGCTACTAGGACTTACAGTTTAAACAACACTTGTTTTGGGTTTGCTATTCACCAGAAGCATCTGCTGATGTGAAATATGCCTCACAAAAAGAGATTTCAGAAAAATAACATCAAGAATTGTTGACTCGCATGAAACTGGAAAGGACTGAAATGGAATGTTAGCAGTTCATCATTCTACCGGTCGACAAACTAGAAATCAGGACAATTTACTACTATGGGTGAGCGGTTGACTAAGATGACTGTGAAGGCACAATGCAGACTGCTCACCCAGGTAAAAAAGACTAGCATCTAAAGGCTTAAAGAAATCATTGAAGCTGGTTCACATCTCTGTTCATGAGTCTACCATAAAAAGATGGTGTACATGGCAAATTACCACAGAGGAAGCTGCAGCTCTACAAGAACACTCATCACTGCATCTTACCACAGAGCACAGTGATAGTCCACACTTAGAAAATGTTTTGTTGACTGAAAATGAATTCCCAGGTTTGTCAAGGTATCATACAGGATAAGGTCAAGGTCGCTGTCCACCAGCCGATGCTCAGCAGAAGTTGGCAGGACAGTGATCCAAAACACTTAACTAAATCTGTCACAGTTTTTATACTGACAAAAACCTTGTTAATGTGGGATCCACCATTTGGATATAGTAACTAACAGTTTGGGTTTTATCTGACATGACAAAATTGCTTTGCCTTATCTTGCCTATTTTTCTAATTTTACAGATGGGATTGAAGATTAACATACATATAAAGAAACAAACAACCTGTTCTATCTTCTTTTCCATCAGTTTTGCTGCCATGCCTCGAGGGATGGTGCGTCGTCTTTCAGTCCGGACACTGCTGTTTCTCCTGCTGATAGCCATTGGCTGGCCCTTCACCTCATTACCCAGTTTTATTGTACAAGGGTCAGACTCCTCACCCTCCAGTCTCTTTCCCACCTTCATCCGGAATGACACTCTGTTTGAGCACTTGGCCCTTCATCCTGACCCCAGCGTGGGTCGGGTGTACATCGGGGCCCGAGATCACCTGTTCCAGTTGGATCAATTCCTCCAACCTGAACTCCAGGCTGACACTGGACCCATCAGAGACAGTCGAGATTGCTTACCTCCTGTTACTGAGAGCAACTGCCCTCAGGCTAGGATCACCAGTAACCACAACAAACTCTTGCTGATTGATCCTTACTCCATGGAACTTATTACATGTGGGAGTGCCAACCAAGGAATCTGTCAGAAACGTAGTCTGGACAGAGTGGATATGGTACTTTTCTCCACCGAGAGACCAGTGGATACTCAATACGTAGCAGCTAACCATCCCAATGTTAGTACTGTTGGGCTTGTGGTTAGGTCCCATCCTAACAGACAGCCAGTACTGTTTGTGGGGCGGGGCTACACCAGCAGTCATCCACCTATTTCCACAAGAAACCTGGCCCAGGAGCCTGTCTTTTCTTATGAGGAGACCGCCAAATTGGCTGTGGCTGGTCGTCTCTCAGAATATGACCATCATTTTGTTGCCTCATTCGCCCACCGTCAACATGTATACTTCTTCTTCTACAGGCGGGACCTAAAGTCGCAGTCACGCGAGTATCGCACTTATGTCTCACGTGTATGTTTGGATGACCAGGCCTATTACTCCTATGTGGAAGTACCCTTGACATGCCGTTCCAGGGCAGGAAAAATATACAACCTCCTGCAAGCTGTCCAGCTCGGGCTCTCCAAGGATGGTGTGGGGAGTCAAAGCTTGGAGATTCTTCTTGGTGTCTTCTCCACACTTTTGGCTTCATCAACTCGACCAAGTGAAGACTCGGCCCTCTGCATGTTTAACCTTGAAGATGTGGACCGCAGGATTAACTCCACCAGAGACCTGTGCTACACACAGATGGGTAAAGAAGCAGGAGTGGAGGCGGCTTACATTGAGTACGAAGTCAAGTCCAACTGTGCCCACCTGCCAGAGGTAAGTTCAGTGGACCGAATTTGTTCTTTTGTGTTAACTTGCTGTTATTACTGCTCTCACTGTTTCCAAAAATCAAATGCAAACAAATGAGCAACAACATATAATCTTGTGTGAAATTGCTCTTTATCCTGTAGATTAAGGCTTTATTTCTTGAAGGCATAATACAATTTTATGATGTTAATGTGGTCAATCTTTGTTTCACTTCAGGTGGCCTACCTGCACTGCTGAAATGAAATAGAGAAAACACTGCAGAAAATCCTGCTTTATCGATTTAAAGCAGCTCATTAGTTTCTAGGCCAGTGCCTGGTAAGAACTGGTGGAGGAAGCAGAGTCAGAAATTACCTTCCCACACAGTGCAGTTTTCTCTATAGAGGGCACAGGGTAGCACACTGACACCCCTTAGATGTTATGTCAAATCATCAGTCAAGGAACCCCTGAGTCAAATCTCATTTTATCAGTCACTTTTTTTTTGTGTAGCAGTGTTATGTAACATAAGTAGTGTAGCAGAGAACTGCATGACAGGTTGTCAACATTGAGATACACGTGTCTCGTTTTAATTGACTTCCAAACTACAGTAATTGTAATGGAAATAGGGTGATGCAGTGCCACCTGTTTACTTACTTGTTACTTTTAAACTTTATAAAAAAAAAAATTAAAAAAAAGTATAACCTCCTCGATGTCGTCCAGTGTCATTGACTGTCTGGACCATTACTCTGTGGTATGCTAGGATTGTAGAACTGACTATATGATTGCACACATTTTTCTTTGACTGTGATGAAATCTGATGTTTTATCATTAATGGTGATGATAAAGGCACTGGAACTTTATTCACAGAGGTCAAATATGAGTTTGGCATGTAAGCTGTTAGGCTATAGGAGGTTAGTGTGTGGCAGCTACTCTACGGGGTGCTGGACTGTAACTGGCTGGAGGAGTGAATGCTAGGTTTGTCATAATCATACTTAAGGTATACTGAAAAAAAAAACATATTGAGTATTTGTAAACATTAAAAAAATACCTGTGGGTAAAAAAGTACAAGGAAAAAACATCCACAGTTTGTTAAACATCATCCATTAATGTCTGTGGCAGCTGCTTTAGACTTTAGACTCAAGAGATTGCGCTAACCAGCGGAAGTTGGGATACCACCTATCAGAGGACCAATGGCCATTGTGTGACGTCACGTGAAAAGGGCCCATTACCTGTCTGTGGGAACATGCTTTTGACACAATTTGCAGTGCAAGCTATCCTGCTTCTAGTTTTACTTTAAACAGGCCAGAAAATCTCCATGCTACCAAATTTCTCAGACCCCATTTTTCAACAGTGTCCTCATGTTTTGAGCCTTGGGCTGTGTCCGCTGGGGTGGCTTCTTTGGTAATGCTGTCACTCGTGTTTTCATTAACATTTTCTGTCATCATTTTCTCTTTTATCTCTCTCTCACTCGTGTACACGGCTGCAGTAGCCCAAACATTAACATGTGTGCTGCTGCCGGCTGTTGCTACTATGCTCTGCGCATCATCCTAACTCTACAGGACCCCTTTATGAGCAGGCCAAATAAGGAGTGCAACACACCAGCCAACTCTATGCAATCCACCAAAATAATGAGCAGTCAGCAGGCAGCGCTCTCAGGTTCATTGCCTCTTCTTCCTGTTAAGATTACCAGTGATGAAGCAGTGACCGTGCTTTCAAACATTCCTGAGGAAAAAATAAATTGCCCGGAACAAAAGACAACAACCCTACTGCCAGAATAAAGACTCCCTGCTGCCAAATTGTGATGCCAACATAAATTTTACATAAGCGTTAAAGTGCAGCATGTTAAAGTTGCTGGATTCTGGTGATAATATGTTCCCAAACCCCAGCCTCATACAGCAAATCCTGCTGGATTTTTACCAGCTACAATATGAACACTGCTGTTATATTCCGTGGTGGCTGGCTGCCTTCTGAGAAATTAATGACAAAGAGCTTTTTTTTGCAAGCCGTACAACTGCACGTGTGGTTGTGTTATTTTCCTGAGCTGATCTTCATTGTATGTGATGTGTTGCAAACACCATGCACTGATTTTTCTCGCCTGTATCCCCACCATTAGAACACCCTGGAGGCCTACCCATGCGGCTCAGACCACACCCCCAGCCCGATGGCCAGCCGGGTCGCCGTGGAAGCAGAGACCATTTTGGACAGCCCATCTGTCCGTCTCACCACTGTGGCCCTCAGCGTAAGGCCAGGACATACCATTGTCTTTCTGGGAGACTCGAGAGGGGACCTGCATAAGGTAATGTGGAATCAAACATTTGAAGATGTGTGTTCCTGCTCATGAAGCTCAGACACAGAAGCACACTGAAACAGGACACTTTGCTAACTGTTAAGTTATGCAGAGACTGTGCTGTTATTGCTGGACACTTGAAGTCTGGCATACTCAACACGTTGTGTCATTATTTTGAGTTCAGACCCTGTTTACCCATGTGTTGGACATTTCTTATATAACTAACACATGACCCTACACACATGACAGTCAACTAGCAGTCTGTTCTCTTCAACCAGTAGACATAGGTGCTGTCAGTGTGTAGAGGCAGGCAGGCTGATCTCTGGTTCAGTTTATATCTTTTAAAGTTCTAAACAATTGCTCCAAATGCTGATGAAGCATTAAAAACTACAGGATTTAGTTGCATATATGTTAATCACTTATCCTGGTCCAAGAACAGAGAGGAGCTGTGTGTTGCCCTCTTGGTTATGAAGCCTTGGCTGTTACTGAGTTCTGTTTTTGAATGCTCATCGTAAACTAAATTTTAACAATCCATCCATCTTCGTCTGCTTTATCCAAGACCGGGTTTCGTGTTTTTGGGACTTGGAATTTTAACAATAAAATGTTCTTATACTTGTATAGCACTTTTGTATGTATTGCGGCACACTCAAAGTACTTTCACACTATTTGGCTATTCATCCATTCACACTCCCAATCACTCACATTCACACACTGGTGACATCACCTGGAGCAACTGGGGGTTCAGTGTCTTGCTCAAGTACACTTTGACATGTGGACTTGGCAAGCCGGGAATCTAACCACTAATCTTCCGGTTAGGAGACGACCTGCTCTACCTCCTGAGCCACAATAAGGAGAGAATGTGAACAAATATTTCAAAAAATAGTAATTTTTTTTAACATGTTCCACTCATATACAGGGTGGGCCACAGAAAAGTAGTAGGAGGCAGGCTACTTTTCCATGGCCCACTCTGTAGTTAAATTAACATGTAGGAGTGGAATATTTTTAGAAATGAAAACATTTTAAGGAGCAATAGACATAGTTTTATGGAAATAAACCTAGTATAAACCAATAAATTCTATAGTTTTAAGGTTTTCAGATTCAAGTTTATTGATACGGTTTTTATTCAGCTCTTTACTCATTTTGGAGGCTGTTGGCAGTGTTGTATTGCTTTACACTGTTAGATAGGGATGCACCGGTACAATACCAGTATATAGGGTCAGATATATCTTCTAGTACTTGTACTGGTAAAAGTTGTTTGATACTGTGAACTAGTACCACTTAACAGCAACATTTATAGTAACCTTACGCTGGTTGAGCCAGTCATTTGGGATTTGAGAAAGCATTTCAGAAGCTGAAGGATGTTTTAAATAAGTGACGTTTTAGATAAGTGACGATGACAAACATAAAGTGACTGAATTCTGCTCTGTGGCTGAGGGAGGGCCGCTCAGCACACACACATGCAGACAAGATGATGAGATTGCATGCAAGTGAGATGACAGTGCTCTATGTGCAACAAAATCCAATAGTAATATAGAAAGCCATGCTGAGACCACAGCTCTTCTGCAGCATTACATGTTGCTGTGTGTGTCCAGCAGCAGGACGAAGCCACAGTCACCACTTTAAAGGCCATTAACTCTTGTTAAATTAAACATTTAAATTGCCCACTGTGATATTATGCACTCACAAAACTTTCATCCTAACACACAGGGTCACACTCCTACAAAAGCCTAAAGACCACTGTATTACAGTAAGCTACAGAAATTCAGTCAATTACATGTTAATTCAATAGGAATGGTGGCTGTTTGTTACTACAAAACAATTTAAGGTAGCCTAATCTGCACAGGGGCTGTTATAGTTTAATTGTAATCAAAGTAAATGTCATGAAAATATAATCTGTTTCTAAAGTAGTTTTTAATAGTAGTGTTAGTACCCCAGTTCTTTAATTGGACAGCTCTGAATAAGGAAGGAGTCCGCCTTTCTTCATCTAGTGCTGATTTATTTTAACCACAAGCAAAATTACAAACACGACCCAGGTTGCTCCCTTTTTCAGACACACACACAGGCCACTGGGAAGTGGAGTCCCTTGCCACACAGAACCTAATACATTTATAAGGTTTAGGCTAACCCCTTAACCAGATGAAGTCAATCCGAAGACTCCATCTCTTATCTAGTGCTCCACATGCTTTGAGCAGCTGCATTTTTACCTAGTCATAACAAAATGAAGAATTTCAATGTGTGTGTATGTTGTCACATGGTGTGTAGCTAAGGCATTCATTCATTCAGACATAATATTCTAATACAAGGTTAATGCAGGAAAAGAATTGGTTCCTATGGTTCACTTTTCAGAATCAACATTCTGTCTGCTAACCTTGAAACAAAACAGACTAGAGAAGACTTTAAATCTTACTAGAATTAGAATCAGCTTTATTGGCCGATTACTAAAGTGCATTACTAACGCATCTGATTCAACACATTGTTTAACAATTATCTAACTGATTTACTAATATCTAACAGTAGAAACATTGCTTTAAGTACTTGTATCAGTACTCGGTATTGGTGAGTACTCAAATGTATTTGTACTCAGTCTGAAAAAAAATTGTATTTGTGCCTCTCTAGTGTTAGTGTTGTGTTTGTAATGGCAGCAAGAGTGTATTTTGAATAATCTCCCTACTTTTTATTTTAGCGCCTGGATGGAGGATATGAGGTAGTAATTACAGTATAATGTTTAATAGAAGCTCAGTGTACTATAAAGGGGGTATCCCAACTGTGACAGCCTGTAAATGTTTGGCTCCATGTCTAGATTGTTTGAAGCTCCTCTGAAACGATGCGTCGCTTAGTTTGATGTTTGATTTCTAAGATGCTGTCGTTGTTTGGCAGTGTCCTTGTGGGTTCAGGGATGAAGTGGAGTCAGCATGAAGCTTAGTCACATACAAGGAGAAGAAGAATGTCCTGCTGTGGATGAATCAGCATGAGAAAAACGGGGGAATACAACATTTGTGACTTTATGGAACATGTCAGCTGAGTGTGTGGGTATTTTAGGAAGGATGAAAGCCATTTTGGACACATGGAGTTGGGCTTGTTCATCCCAAAAATAGTGCATTTATTTTGATTATTAATAATGTTGTGGACTAAAAGCCTGTCAAATGTCACTGGAGCTGGGAGGTTGTAGGAACCCCAAGTGATATCAGGACTTCACACACTGTAAAATGGCATCCACACAGCTGGCTCTTTGTGCCATTTCTTTCTCAGTGGTGGTTTGTGGTTGGGGCCCCCTGCACAAGCACAAACAGCACAATGACAGCCATTATTACCATATTTTTACACAGTTACACCCCATAGAGCCAGCTAAACCCAGAGCATCACTGTGTCCAGCTCCTGATGCTTCATGCTTTAGTTGTGCTCTGTCATCGCCGACTGGCAGGCATGTGCCATTCCTAACAGAGAGACTCATTCAGGATTCTGTAGCATTATCGGTCATAACAACAGACAGTGTCGCTGTCATTAATGGAGACATTCAGTCTTTGTCCTCCTGTCTGCAAACTCCCAACAGTGAGCATGTAAATTAAAACTTGTGGTAGCATTTTTAGCTGTGACTGATTAGTATGTTGTGTAGAAAGCACAAAGTGAACAGAGAGTCGAATCAGACATTGTCATGTCATTCAGTGAACTGTTATCATTTGTTACTGGGACATTTTTAAGGCTCGGTAGTGCCCTACTCCACCTACAGAAGGCTCAGCACGTGCTAATTATTGATACATAAAGGCAACCTTTAGCTCTAGGAATAATGACCCAAGCAAAAGAGGAAAGGAGGTGACATAGTAGATAGAGCCACTGAGTCCACATTAGGAGGAGGTTGGGGTGGATGGACACAGCAGACCGTTGTTTGAGTCCAATATGGAATGTTGTTTCTATCTGTGTTGATAATTGTACCGATGATAAGGGCCCTGTAACAGATGTAGCTGTTTTAACCCAAGCAGACTTTTCCTAAAGCTAACCTAGTTTTTGTGCGTAACATTCCCTGTATATTATTGTGTAATTAAGACAATAAAGCTCTGTGGCATGACAACAATCTCCTGAGCCTATTAACAGATGGAGTAGGGTCCTACTGAGACACAACTATGACAAGTGACAAGTGATAACAGGCCACTGAATATGATAATGTGAATTGAGGTGCAGTAGATAAAAAAAAAAAACGTGGCAAAGTTGTTCTTTCTCTTTTTGACAATATAGAATAGATTGTCTGTTGACTTATCATTTGTTTTTTGCTTAAGTTGAAGCATTTTTACTTTACAAATGACAGTGAACTGTGTCAATGCTCCACAGTTTGTTTCTGAGTTAATTTAAAACAGTTGTTCAGTCATTTCAGACACTCAGCTGATTGCAGCAGTTCTCCTCCACAAATGAGTGTTCATCTGTGATTTATTGTTCTTTAATGCATGTCTTCACTGTCAAGATAGTGCCCAGCATTTCTTTGAGAGGCAAGTGAACTTCTGTATCTTCATCTGTGTTAGCCACCTGTCTTAGCATTCCAAAGTTTTGGCTTCACTTTTTGGCAGTTTGAATGCTGATAAAAACAACTGAATTAGGTGTACATGCCCTAAAGCGTGTGTGCAACCAAATGTACTGTATGTAATTCCGAAGGCTTTCACTGGAGGCTTTCCACTCGTTTTGGAATCCTGGCTGCAAAGGTTTGTTCACATCAAGGGCACGATTGTTTCATACTGTGCCCTGATGCGATTGCTCCTGCCTTCCCCCTCCGCATTAGTATCATCGTTCCGTTGTTGTCCTTTTCTCCTTGTTCTGCAGTTTGCTAAATAGATCCAAACATAATGTACATCCTTTGGTTTGCCTGCTGGAAGTGTATGTGTTTCTGGAAAGCATCAATAAGAATCTGCTGCCTGGTGGTGCTGCCTTGTCTGCTGGCTAGCATGAACTCCTGGTACTCTTTCATGTGAAACTTCTACAGCTGCCGGATTAAATAATAATAATAACCTTTATTTAACCCTTATTTATATACCACTTTACAACTCCTAGGGGCACAAAGTGCTGTACAACAGAGCTGGAGTAGCCAGCGAACACAATAGAAAAAAAAACAGTAACAAGTAACAGAATAAAACGCTAAAACATCCTTATAGCAGAATATACATAGCATTACAAAAAGAGGTTTCTTTGTGCAAATAAAAGCAATTTAAACATCGAACGCCTGTTTGAAAAGGTGAGTCTTTAAAACTGATTTAAAAGTCACACCACTTATGGAAATACAGAATCTTTTTTTGGTTGTACGTATAGCATGAATTTTTAAGTTTAACTGACCCCTTAAATTATATCCCCCCTCCATTTCATTAAATAACTTTTGAATTCCACCAGGTAATAAATTTTTCCTGGCTTTATACATAAACACAGCAGTCTTATATCCCACTATATCCAAAAATTTTAACAATTTAGACTGTATGAAAGCTGCATTGGTGTGATCTCTATATTCCATCTTATGCACAATTCTTACCGCTCTTTTTTTGTAATATATACAGTGGTTGAAGTGAGCTTTTGTATGTATTTCCCCAGTTTTCAACGCCATACTCTAAGTATGGTAAGATCAATGAAGAATACAGAATCTGTAGTGCTCTCCCATCCAAAATATATCTAACCCTTGCCAAAATCGATATATTTTTTGCTATTTTATGCTGAATATGTCTGATA